CTGCACGGAGCTTTTGAAAAGGAGAAGAGGAGGAAAATTGAATCTCGAACGGAGCGATAACAGCAGCAGATCCGCGGACTGGTAAGCTGGGCGCGTAATAGACGAAAGGTAATTAACGTTTACCAAACGCAATGCTATTTTACTTAACGGAATGTACAAAACGGACTTTGCTGCAACTGGGAATGGGTCACAAACATGTCTTGGTGAGCTTTTGATATTGTCTTGTTTGCGATCTTCTTGCAAAACTCAGCGTGATGTAAAAGAGCCAATCAATGAGTCATGGTGCGAAAACATGAGAGTGGCCGGTGCTTGTGCGTACTTTGCCATAAAAAATGCATATATGGGAGCAGGGCTGGACTGGCCATCGGGCGTACCGGGCAATGCCAGAAGGGCCGATGCCCATATTTGGGCCGGTCTGTTTGCCTCATACAAAAAAGATGTTTGTGAAAAGTGTAAATCCGTTGAGAACTGTTCGAGGGGGCGCGCGTGTCCGCGGGGCACCTGCTGTATGTACTGGAACGGGATTCCACCACCTCAGCGGCCGCAGTGTTCCGGCATCCAGCGGCTCTGAGCTGGACGCGGGAACCGCTCACCGGGAACCGCTCACAACACAACACGCTGAGCGCGTAGCCGCAACGTGACCATGTACCCAAGACCATAAACGTGCACAGGACCATGCATGTCTTTTCGTAATTTGTGCACCCAATAAATACACCGCTGCAGGAAACAGTCCGCGTCTCCCCTCTCCTCTCGAAGTGCGACTAAATTAAAGCTCGGGTGCCTAAATTTTCCATTGCATTAAAAGTTCATGTTTGAGCCCAAAAGTAAAATGTTGTGAAAAAATTAAACAGATTTAGAGCCAGCCAATGGCTGACATTATGCATTTCAGACTTTTTTGACCAATTCTCATCCCTGTAACAAACAACAGTGTTGTCTGCGTCCACCTCCCTCACTCTGAGACATGTTTATTACTCTCTTGTAATGTAGACTATTGCACTTTATTTTTTTGTTGAAACTGTAGACATCCTGATCCTCTACAGTATGCTTCCACATACTGTATAAACCAGGGGTCGGCAACCTTTAGTGCTCCTCCAGTGGCTCCTGGAGCCTTTTCAAAAATGTCTGAAAATGGAGTGGGAGGGCTATATTCCTAGTTTGAATGTGGTTTCTGTAGGAGGAAAAACATTCCTAACGTATTTCAATGCTGTAAAAATGTGTATAAGTAATATTCAATTTCAACATTTCTGTCAACGTAGTGAGTCATATCCTGTGGCGCGGCCCCGCGGCAGACGGCCGCTGCTGTAAACAAACCGGCGTGTGCGCACGGATCCCAAAGATAAAAAGAGAACGAGTCGATAATAAGACTGGACTAAGAACAAGACTGAACATTTGCTTTCAGTCAATGAGGAAGGACTGCTTCATGTTTGCAATGTAATAGGAAGTTTTGTTGCAACACGAGGAACAATGAAGCACTAAATACCGTTCACAGGGATTACGTGAAGGATTCTTTCATACAAAATCCGGAGCACCTTTTTCAGACTTCAAAAACCTCCGCAAAGACTGTGAAAGAAAAGGCCATTAAGGACATTCAGCTCCAGCAAACTTCAGCCTGTGACGTAATCGATATGAGCGGACATTGCAGGTGTGTGACCTTTGAGCCAAAAAGCAGATTTATTTACTGTATTTCTACAGTTGCATGAAGGCAAAAAAATGGAAGTCAAAGTTAAAGCAGAGTCATCACATGGTGCGTCATTCTCTCCAGGACACGCTGCAGTGAAAACACACATTTGACAATCATGAATGCTAATCAAGGGGCGACAGTAGCTCAGTTGGTAGAGCATTGGCCTTAAGGCCAGAAGGTCGTGGGTTCAATTCCCACCTCTGCACCTTCTCCACCGACTCCCACTGATGACTGCTGTCGTTGTGTCCTTGGGCAAGACACTTAACCCCACTTTGCCCAAAGCCCCCACTGAAAGATCAAGGCTATGCTCACACTCAGAGAGCAGCCGTCCTCCTGTGGACTCACCACCTGCAGAGGGTCAGTGAGGGGCTGGTGCTATGAGACTTGGGTGGCATCTCTGACTGCCACCCCCCTGACCCGGAAATGGATTAAGGGGTAGAAAATGGATGGATGGATGGATGGATGGAATGCTAATCATGTATTTGTAGCCTTTACTTGGTCATTTAGATAATAGGCTAATGTAGCTAATGTAGCTACATTGTGTAACCTTCATATAAGCTTTATACAAGGCTGTTATTTTTTTGCGGCTCCAGACAGATGTTTTTAGTATTTTTTGTCAAATATGGCTCTTTGAACCTTTTGAGTTGCCGATCCCTGGTATAAACAAACTGTAAAAAACGTGACAAAAACATGCCTGGGCCGGTAAGAAGGAAAAAATGCCCGGGCCGTTTTTTTGTCCCAGTCCAGCCCTGTATGGGAGTAATGAGAAAAAAGTTTTGATTCGCCACCAGCTCAAAACTGCGCACAAGGCAGCTGTTTGTGCACTTTCCCACACTTCATCTTTACCTGGTGCATCAGCAACAACTGACACTAGGCTTGCTCTGGCGGACCGTGTCTGTGGCTTTATCGCAGAAAATAACGTTCAGAATATCACTACCGCTGGTAGATTTATTTAAATCATTTGCAGTTGATCGAAGTGCACTGTGCACTCAAACTTGATAGGGAAACCTTTTTCTTAAATATTGACGTGTCCACAAACAAATGTGGACAAAATTTTATCGTCCTTTTGCGATATTTTGACGAGGACAGAGCCAAAGTGTTGACGCTCCATATCGCCTCAAGTAAAGCTACTCTCACTAATATTCTGTCAAAAAGTTGACTCGTTGCTTGATCCACTTATATTTCATATCAAAATACACTGTATATCTTTGTATATTGAATACAGCTCAAATGAATTCTTCAATCTATTATACAATAATATATTGTAATTAAAAATATAACTTGGTCCTGCATATTACTGTGATTTACATGTGATAAATTTCCATGCAAAAATTTTCAGTCAAATTTTTTTTTTTTGCTTTAACCCCTGCACTAGATGATTTGATGACTCTTCCATGCTGGTACTCATTCACTGGTCTATTTTGACCATAAACAGGTGTTCGATAGCTACTAATGCTAAAAAGTCAATACATTCTGACAGCCCAACTCTACCACAATAAAAATGCACATATATCTATACAAGCCACATGGTTCAAACAACTTGATAAAAGTAGCGGCTTATAGTCCAGAGATTACGACGGTTAAGATTCTGAGATTTATAAACACATGGGAGGCCAACAACAGCTACTGTACTATAGCACATAATAATTGCAGTCTTGTAACAATTTTTAAGTGGTTTGAAATAAATCTGCAGTGGCACAGAACAGCCGAGCACGTAACCTTTGATTTGTGATGTCCAGCTCGATATAATGGTTTAATTTGTCAGGCTATTGCTAATCTCCCAATCAGCCGATCTCATTAACATTTGTGACCAGAGGAAGAGCGATTCTTTGTGCTGCCGGATGTTGATCAATGACGGCTCATTACCAGCGTTGTATCCGGAGTAAATGCCTTTTTGTCCACTCTACAAACAGCGGGGTCGCCTCTCTCCTCTGCTGCAGTTGTTTATCAGTCGTCTGTGGTGATGCAGGACACAAAAGAAACCACAGCTTATTGTCTGTTTCCAGGTCTTGAGAAGCAGAAAAAGTATATACCTCCCAAAGTTGACTTAGTTTTTTATTTTCATCACAGTCTTGTTGCTGGTTTGTGACTACAGTGGGATATCCAAATGGAAGATTATAGTATAAATGACATATCAACACTAGAACTCAATTTGATAGCTTTTCCTTTTGAAAGTGTAATTACTCCGCTTATATACATTTTAATCTTCCTAACTTTGTAACTACATCTAATTTATTTTTGTATACCTTCATTTCCGGACTATAAGCCGCTACTTGTTTCTAGTTTCTCTAACCCTGCGACCAATATAGTGATATTGTGAATGTGTGTATTTTGTATATGGACTTATTGGTTTGAGGTTTAGTAACATATATATGAACCACATGTACTTTTCTTTTAAAACGTTGCTGGTACGGCTTATATACAGGTGTGCTTCATAGTCCAGAAAGTACAGCACTTATATTAATTACTGTTTTTGCAGTATTTCACGTTGTATTCACAAGTTTTAGTGTATGTTAAAGATATGGGCGGCATGGTGGCTGAGTGGATTGCACTCTCGCCTCTCAGCAAGAAGGTCCTGGGTTCGAATCCCGGTCGGAACAGGGTCTTTCTGAGTGGAGTTTGCATGTTCTACCCGTGTCTGCGTAGGTTTCCTCCGGGTGCTCCGGTTTCCCCTACCACTAAAAATATGCTCACTAGGTAAAATCCTCCTGCTCCGGTAGTCCTGACCAAGCCAAGCATTAACATCTGGAGATGGGTTCCTGGGCGCTGTTACTACGGCGACCACTGCTCCTGACGTAAGCCTTTGCGGCATCAGGATGGGTCAAATGCAGAGGACAAATTTCCCTACGGGTACAATAAAGGGCACATTTACATTTACATTTACATACAACCTGTATATGTGGAATAAAAAGTAGCGAACATTTGAATGTGAGCCGTCAATATGACTGCTCTTGGAGTTGAAGTAGTTTCAGAATTCATGGAGTCCTGGTGTTAAGTAATCTTGGAGCATATAGACGACTATGAATTTGCAGGATATGGGCAAAATAAATACAAGGATAGATTACATAAACCCTGTGGTAGAGCGGTTAATACCATAAATATACACATGTATTGAGGAGGCTAATGTTAGCGTCTGGGAGCCACATCCTCTGCTGGTTGTGAACGCCGCAATGAGTTCTGTGGTTTCTGAATCGCTGAAGAGAAAACCACAAAGTCACAATGGAAACTCTTTCAGGCCGAAGCCAAACGACTCAGAGTGTGTCTCCCTAAACAATGATGTCCTTGACAAACAGAAGTCTCCCATCAGTCTTCCACAACAATGCCACGCTTGTCCCGCGCACAGAGGGTCATCCGGGTCCCGACCAGAGAGCCGCCCCGGTCCCGGCAAGGTCCGAGTCGTGGGAGTGAGGATTTTGTAGCGCTGACCTTCAAACTGTGTAGTGACGCCTCTACCGCACAATACATGGGAAATGTAACTGCGTATTCATGTGCTAATGCTAATGTTATGGGGGACTGGCAGAGATCGTCAGCCCACGGAACTGCGTAAAGACGGCCCTATACCTCAAGAGCGGCTTTGTACCATTTAATGAAATAGAATTCAAGAACTATCAGACTCTCACAAAATGTGCTGAGTGTTTGTCTTATAATTACCATGATGTGACATTTAAAGCTGGGGCAGTTCACTTCTGTAGCATGTTGTTTGTTCACAGAATTCTGTTGGTACACACACAATATACTGTATGTATGAGACAATACAAAGATTTAAGAGTATTTCTGTCACGGGGTGGGATGATGGAGGACTCAAATGCAGGAATGCAAAAAATAATGATTTAATAAAATAAAAGTCCAGGTGAAAACTAAACTCAAAATCCAAGAATACAGAACCAGGAACAAAGACAGAACTTGACATGACGAAACAGGACATTGACATAACAATGGACCAGCAACATGTGGAGAGGGGCACAGGGTAATTATAGACAGGGACACAGGTGAAACACATCAGGGCGGGGCAGACAATCAAGACAGGGGAAACAGCACAGAAGTCAAACTCAAAACCAAACCACAGAGAAAAAATGTCAAAATAAAACCAAAGTACAAAATAACAAAATCCACACCGTGACAGTACCCCCCCTCCAAGGGACAGCTCCCAGATGTCCCCAGAAAATAAACACGAGCCAGGGAGGGTGGAGGGGGCAGTCCAGAGGCAATGTTCGATGGACAGAATCGAGGGCAGGAACTAGAACCCAGTGATGACCTTCCACAAAAGGTCTGGCTCACCCCGAACGAAGACGAATGTCCGGCGGTGACGCAGCAACAGGATCAGAACCACCCCAGACGGAGATCCATGTCTGGCGGTGGCAACGGGTGAAGGGAAGGAGAGGTCATCATTGGGTAGCAGCCAAAATGGGTAGAAAATCCAGACAGACAGCACTATCCAGGCCAGAGCATCACTGTAGACCTCTCAACATGTCAGGGGGGGGGACAGAAGACCACCCTGGACGGAGACGAATACCCGGCGGTGGTACAAAGGGACAAGACCACCCCAGACGAAGGTTGATGTCTGGCGGTGGTTCCAGAAACAGGTTGAGAGGTCAGCGGTGATGAGGCGAAAATAAAATAAAAACCTGATGAATGGGATGACAAACTGGGAGCAGGTGTGGAAAAAGGGCATTCCGCTGAGTCCTTTTGTGGCTGGTCCATTCTGTCACGAGCTTGAGATGATGGAGGACTCAAATGCAGGAATGCAAAAAATAATGATTTAATAAAATAAAAGTCCAGGTGAAAACTAAACTCAAAATCCAAGAATACAGAACCAGGAACAAAGACAGAACTTGACATGACGAAACAGGACATTGACATAACAATGGACCAGCAACATGTGGAGAGGGGCACAGGGTAATTATAGACAGGGACACAGGTGAAACACATCAGGGCGGGGCAGACAATCAAGACAGGGGAAACAGCACAGAAGTCAAACTCAAAACCAAACCACAGAGAAAAAATGTCAAAATAAAACCAAAGTACAAAATAACAAAATCCACACCGTGACCATTTGTGGCCTAGATGCATTGGCTTGCTATTGGAAATATATGTGAGGTTACTTTAGTTACTTTCTGTGATATTAGCCCCGTTTGTACCAGATCTACTCTACTCTTCTCTACTCTGCTCTGCTCGGCTCTATACTCTACCTGGTTGTGTTTCTGTACAATTAGTCAATTAATAGGATCAGCACTAGACCGCAAACTTATCACTACCATCGTCACTTTTTAATTGTGCATAAGATACCTTTATTGCACACAAGATTCCTTATAACTTATATATTTTTTAACTTTTTAATATTTTCAAGGTTGAATCCAGAATTGACAATTCAATGATTTTTATTGCATCCATTCCTTGAGTCATATAAACAATGTGAGAGCTAAAACAGAAATACAAAATTACTAATGTTCCTCACCATTATTTCTAATGATTAACTAATTGCATTGTTAATTGTTATTTGATAATGGCTATTAACTCACATCCTTATCAAACTCTAAACATACTATATATTTCACATAAATACATACCTTATTCCCTTTATCAACTGAAGCTACCCCTTTGTTTCCGTAGACGTATTTACATTTTGTAATGTATTTTTGCATATGATTTAGTGTGAGCCGTTTATTTCCTGTCTGAACCTGAAGCTGTCAAAAAAAATGCAAATCTATAAACGTATCAAAAGTGCTAATCAATCTTTGAAATCACAAAAAAATTATACAAGTAACACAAGCTAAACACCAGGTATCTCTCAAAACTGGTTCTATCATGAGTTTGCATGTATTGCTGGCCTCTGTCACATCTTTAAAATTGAGAGAAAGAGTAAATCAGGCTCAATATAAAAAAAAAAAGGTTTTTTAAAAATTTTGAGATATCATGTTGTTTGTTGATTCGTTCACAAAATTCTGTTACAGTAGAGGATCGGTAGTTGTGTTTTTGTAAATCTAGAAATGAGCCGTACACACAATGACCAATTAGATTCTTTCATTTGTGGGGGAAACTCCAGCTTGACTTAGCAACCATGTTAGCAACGTGCCTGCTACTGTTACGGCACATAGGCCAGCCCGTCAGAACAAACGCTCAGATCAGGACATTCGAATGGACTTCTTCCGTATTCGCCAAACACTACGGTGACGTCAGAACTCCTAATATTCATTTCAGATTTTGAAGAACACAGTATCATAACTGCATTCTGTGTATTGATTACTTTACTATTGTATTCAGTGTATTATTATGTTGAATGGTCGTGAGGGGGTTGCGTCCGCTTCATCCGACCCCTTCTCAAACCTGTATTAGTGTGAAGATATTGGAAATGGTGTATTTCTGGTTTGAAATAATTCTTAACTAGTGTCTTTAACCAGTGGAAAATACAAGAAAAACTAATCAACTTCGGCATCAAATCAGTTTGAATAAATATGTAAATCGCCGTGAGAATTGAGAATTTTTAGATTGGACACAGCTGAATCCATTAGTTTTGGTGCTTCTCTGAGTGTGAGATAAACCTTCAAAAGAGACTGGTTAAATCTGTTGGCAAAATTTAACGTGGGCTATTGAGCCGTTGAGTTTCCTGCAGAATCCTAATGTTCCCGGCAGCAACTTTGGTTTGACTGATGGACCGACTCTGGGTGTAAAGAAGCTCAAGTAGAATTCGTAATCACAATACCGGCTCCACTTCCTAAATCCTAAATGAAGCCTTCACTCCTTCCAAAACAATGTCCCCATATCGCCTGCAAACGCTGCCTACCGACGTCCCGACAGCTAAGACAATACCGTCTCCAATTGAAAGGCGTCAGGGAGGCGGAGCTCTGGGACCACGTCTAGTTTTGTGAGACCTGTCTAGATCTCAATTCACCCGGAGAATCAGTCTTTCATCTGGGCTGGACCTATCACTCCGAGCTGGGAAACAGGATCCAGAGTCCTGTCCCGAACCCACCCACCTCTGCCCGCGCTCGGCCCCCTCTCAATGGGCTCTTTCAGTATTGTTGCCGCGGCCTCGGCTCAGGTCAATGGCAGCCCGGAGACTTCGAGTGGGAACAAATGGTTTGTTTGGTTGAGCGCCGTGAAGCAGCTTTGGACGGTCCGGCGGGCGAAAGGTAATGCTGACTGCAGAGTTTAATATGAGAGTGATGACAGAGGCTGAAAATCCTCGCTCCGGGTCGCAGTCAGGGGTGCGCTTATTAGACTTTTTGCAGTCGGTTGGTAGTTGGGGGAGAGTAAGCTCTACTAGATTAGTGTCGGAGTGAGGTTCAGACAGCTGAGCGGGCCAAAGCAGGAGTTGGAACAAACGATGATGTGGAAGAGAAAGAGCACTGGAATTTTAATTGGCACTGAAAACCAAATTCTTCCATTCATTCATTCATCCATTGGGGTCAAATGAGCGTATTCATACAGCTGACATGTACAGAAACACAATACAACCTGGGTTACTCCCCCAATCCTGCACAATGTACAGTTTATGATCATCAATTCAAGCATACCATTATAGATGGTGTGTACATTAAATTCCAAGGTAATTAAGGCTCAACCAGCATCTGTCTTTCAATAAGCGCAAAAAGAACAATCTTGGGTTGGTACACGATATACAGTACATACATGTATATATAGATAGATAGATTGATTGAAAGTGGGGCGACAGTGGCTCAGTTGGTAGAGCATTGAGCCTGAAGGTCGTGGGTTTGAGCGCAATGACTGCTGTCGTTGTGTCCTTGAACAAGACACTTCACCCCACTTTGCCTGAAGCCCCCGCTGAAAGATTAAGGCTCCTGTGGACTCACCACCTGCAGGAGGATCAGTGAGGGGCTGATCCCAGTTGGAACAGGGCCTTTCTGAGTTGAGTTTGTATGTTCTCCACTCAGAAACCGAGTGGAGAACATTCAAATTGAAATAATCCATTGAGTAAAAGGTATGCATAGGTTTTCCATTACCATTAAAAACATATTAAAAAACACTTCCTGTATGGCGACCCCACTCCCATCTCTTTGTGACTCAGGTCTGTGAAAGGCGCTGTTTAAAGATGACTTACTTACTTACACTCAAAGACGCTTCACAGAATATTACCTTTATTTATATTACCAGAAAATTAGGCTTACATTTTTCTCTTTATAATATTAAAGTCAACCGCGTAAATAATCTCAGTTGGATTCATTGATGAAAGTTTATCATTGACCAAAATACTTGACAAGCAACATTATGTTATAGCTTCCACAAGTTTGCTGTTCTCGTGTGGAGGCAGGACCACCCCCCTCCCGTCCTCCGCGTACTGCTTGTGCCTCCGTTAACTCTCTACGGTGTGGTTGAGATGTTTTATTAGGAGTTACTGGATTCTGAAATTGTCCATTGAGTAAAAGGGCATTATTTTACAGCCCTCCCATCCAAATGTGCTTGTGAATGTCTGAACTTTATCATCTTAAGGGTATCATCGAACTTATTCAGGAAAATGCCACCAAATGTCTGAGTGGAATTAAATCCGGAGACACCTACTGTGGCATTTCCGAAACCACAATCAAACTGCCCCATGTGTCCCTGGCATTTAGACCGTCACATGCATGCCTATCAGGAGAAAGTGGTCACGAGATGGACAAACGTGCGGCTAAAGAAACCAGAGACAAAGAGGTTAATTGGTTCCATTGTTTTGCGTTTTAGAAAAGTTGTTCGTTGATTTTTATTTTGTTTACCATGGAGCAGAGGTCGTTGTCTGGTCACGAGCAATCAGCAAATTATAGTGGCAGTGAAATGATGTTACCATACCTACAGCGAGCACATTGCAAACTCTTCTTCAGAGATTTGCAAACACACAGTCAAAATCCTCAGTTGTAGAGAATATTTTTGGGTTGTTTTTACTGTTGATGACTCAGGCTTGGGTGTTTACATCAAAACCAGATCGGCCGTTGTTCTTTCAATCGCCACAAAACATGAAAGACGGTTAAATAGCTTGAATATTAGTAGTAGTAATTTTGTTTTATCTATGTATTTTATATTTTTTTACAGGCACATATCATTCAAGAAGGAAAGAAAGATCAAAAGGACAAGGCAGAATCCAAAAGCTTATAAGTGCTTTCCCCATTATCAATAATTCATTTAAGCGGCTGCAAAAATATTTGAATTTTCACATGACTTTTAATGAGGCCTAACATGACAATATATGACATATTTAAGTAAGTACTTTACATATGTTATTTTTTGGGCATTTGTCTCTCACTCTACAGAGAGAAAGGAGCGAGGTCGCCAGTACAGGAGGTGCATGCCAAACCTATTGTATGTTTTTAATGGTAGGGGAAACCGGAGCACCTGGTGGAGACTGGAGAAGACACCGGGAGAACATGCAAACTCCTCTCAGAAAGCTACATTTCCGACTGGGTAACTACTTTAACACTAGTAAAGATGTGATATAGTAAAGAAAACATACGATTTTTGGATTGATTGCTTTTCAATTGCCCTCAAATGACATATAAAAGTATTCTTTGTTGAATGTTACATAAATCTGACAGAATAAGGATTACAGAATGCTACAACACTTCGCATCTGTCTCCTCTGCATCTGCACAGTGTTCTACGGTATCTAAAAGCTTGTCTCGTCGCCTCGTCCTTCGCGTGCCCTGGATCTCAGCCTGACATCACCCCGGCAGTCTGTCTGTGTCGCTGTTTGCACCAGGCCTTGTGCGTGCGCCGCTGTCACTTGATTGGGCCGTATAATGTGACTGGAGTCCTTGGGGCAAACTAGTGCTGCTGCTGCTGTGGCGAGAGCTGTGGATGTGATGCGGCTGTGATTGGCGCCAGTGACGGGCCAGAGGACGGGTCGACCTTTGGGGCTGTCAGGTGTCACTGCTGCCTCTTAATTATGCATTGGGACTCTGCAGCTGGAGACCACACGCTCCACAGACACATGCTAAACCAGCTAGTCTGAGTCGTGCCATGTTAGAGTACCAACGTTGTGCTTTTTCTCTTGAATTCTAGTTGTTATTTTCCTCTCTGGGTTTTATTTTAAAGCCGAGGTATCCCTAACTGTCACAACATAAAGAGTCCTTGTGAACGTAAAGGTAATTTTTATAGCACAGTTTGTACACAAGACAACTCGGAGTGCAAACAAGGCATTAAAATTATAAATAATCACAGTACATTAAAAAGAGTGAACATTTTCAGAGTGGAAGCCTGTCTCATGTTCTCAGGAAGAAAAGTGACCTGCAGGGCTTCAAGATAAGTATTCTAGTTTTCTGCACTGGCTTTAAAGCAGCTCTGTTTGTGTACAAGTCTCTCCATGACCTTGCCCCAAAGTACATCTGTGACATGTTAGTGCCATATGAACCAACTGGGACTCTGAGGGGCACAGGGACTGGACTCCTGCTGGTGCCCAGAGTCAGAACTAACTGAGGGCAGGCAGCATTTCAGATGAATGCAGCTGGAATGATGAAAATTTGATACAATACTCTGACAATGTTCAAATTCAGGTTAAAAACATTTCCGTTGAGATTTGCATACAACAGATTGACAGATTGTACCTTCACTCTTTTTAACCAAACCGTAATTATATATGATTGTTATTGTCTTATGTGATTGTTTCCATCTAGATTAAACATTGTGAGTTTCCTTGTTTATGAACTGTGCTACACAAAAAACCTCACTTTGCCCTACACCAAATTCTGCTGTGATTAACACTAAATTCATATGAGGATTTTTTTCTGCATTCATCCAAACCTTTCAGGAGCACAATGACAATCTTCAGAGCCACCAGCTGTAATGGTTCTTCTTCTTCTTCTTCTTCTTTGATTGCTTAACGGCGGTTGCAAACTAGAATAGCGCATTACCGCCACCCACCAGATAGAGCTGTAATGGTTTAGGTTTATTTCCTGTTTTATTTTGAAACTGGTCAGCCCTGTGTCTTCCTCAGTTCTACTTCCTGTTGCCCCGCCCTCAAGTGTCTCACCTGTGTCTCGTTAGTCGTTAGTGTATTTAAACCCTGTGTGTTCCTTCACTTCCTGTTCCTAATAGTGATGGCAATATGAAGCCCCATGAAGCCTTGAGGGATAGCAGCCTATTACTCGGCCCATGAGTCGAAGGCTCGAGGTGAATCATGCTCCACTACGCCATCATGTGGACAAAGAAATACATAACACTCAAGTGCTTACAATGAATGGTGAGATCTAATGTTAAAATGTATATTTACAATCTATGGTCTAACGTGTTGTGTTTGAAATGATGCTTCATGAACTATGAACTATTTGAGTCTTTCAGTCAATTGTGTTGATACAACAAACACATCCAAAGTAATACAGTTCTACAGAAAGTGATTAATGGAGGAAAAACTATCAAGAGGTGGATTAATTAAACACAACAAACCATTTATTCCCAATAAATAAATATTTACTTTGCAACACAAAATTTATTATGGGTAGACCGGGATTCGAACGCTATATCTTCTGCTTCGGAGTCCGTCATATACCGACTGCGCCACACAGCTGTTGTGAAATGTATCATCCAGCGTATTATTACTAATAACTTGAAGCCTTGATATATGAGGTTTTACTGAAGTGAAACGTTTTTAATTGTATTTCATATGAAGTAGTTTCTTTATACTTAGTACAGGACTGCTCCACATCACGCACACACATGTGGGAAAGTGGACTTTTAAAAAGGACTTTTAACTGCTTTTATTTTTGTGATGTGTTTTGTGTGTTTTTATATTTTTAATGCATGGATTTTAATCAGTTCCTTGGACACTTCCCCTAATCACCCACACCTGCTTTTAATCAAGACCTTTTAATTGGGGGCGGGCACTGCAGGGCTGTGTCCAAAACGGTAGGCATCGGGCCGCGTAGGGTGGATATGTAGGCATCGTGACGTCACTTCCTCAAGCGACGGCTATTGCAGGGGTGTCCAAAACCACTTGGCGAGCTCGCCAAGCGTAGGCATCATGACTTCGTCTCTATGGAAACGGCCACTTTTGGAGCAGATATGAAGGATGCATCTGATGTATGCTTCGCTGCCTTCTTTTTGCCAAGTCACGGCCGCGCATGCGCAGAACTCCGTTCGGCATTAACATGTAAACAACAGCTCGGATCTGCTGGAGCTAACATTATGGTAAGCACTTTACTGTGAAGTTAT